CAAGGTTCTGAGAGACAAGACCCTGTCACCCTCACAAGTAGTGAAAGGATATATGGGCATGTGCATCTGCAGGTATATGCAGGCATAAGTGGGAGCCTGTGTGCCAGTATGAGAGTGTATGCATGCACGTGGTGAATGTATTTGAGTGTACATGTGTCTATATGCATTCATGTGCAAATATGTGTATCAGTGTGTAATTATGTAGGGGGGGAATGCATATGTTTATGTGCATCTGTCCATGTATAAGTAAATTCACATACAAGTACATGTGCCACAATGTGTATGTGAATCTGTAGGTGTGTGGAGGAAGTATATTGTCTATTAGTGTGTAAATGTGCATGTGTGTCAGTGTATGCATGTGTGTGTGTGTTCTGCATGAGTATAGCAGACTGTGACTGTGTGTCTGCATATGAATGCCTGTGAAGGGAGAGAGAGACTGGCAGCTCCTGCCAAAGGGACCTAAGGCTCACACCAGATGCTAGGAAAGGACTTGCTGCACAGGAGCGCTTTGGGACAATGTCCTTGAAGGATGGAAGGGCAACATGGGGTGTGGCCCACTCCACTCTGGGTTAAGGAAACCTTGACCGTCTGGTGGTTGCGCTCCTGCTTCGCTCAGGGCACTCCACACTGTATTTTGTTTTGCCACCAGGGAGTGCTAGAGAGAACAGGAGAGTGAGGGTGGCTGTGCACCAAGCAGGATAACAGAGCAGTAACTTCTGCCAGGAGGCTTCACCCAGAAGATGCTGGAGTCTCTATCACACAATGTTAGAACAGAAGTGAAAGACATCAGAGAGAGTGACCCTTGCCATGTTCTTTAAGATGACGTTGCTGCATTCGTCCATCCCTATCCTGCCTTGTGCTGGCTGGCAAGCATCTATTCACCCTTTCTGACCCATCACCAGTATGCTAACTGTAGGCCCAAAAGGCTCAGACCCATGCCACCGAGGACAGTGAGCAGAACTGTTCTAGGTGCACCTTATGTTGTTAGATTACTCAGTGTGCAAGATCCAGAACAAGTATACATCTACAAGGATGGAGATGCATCAGAAGTTTCCAGGGGCTCGAGAGAGGGCCGTGGGAAGTGGCTGTTGGCAGGGCAGGATTTCTTCATGTACTAATAAAAATTCAAAAATTAAATCATGGTGATGTACATCTTGGAGAATATATAAAAAATGACTGGGTTGCACACTTTAAATGGCTGAGTTGTGTGCATGTGAATTCGACCTGGATAGAGTTTTAGTAAAAGCCACTTCTGGCTCATGGCATATTGGCCTTCTCCCTTTTCTAAAACCAGCATTTTCCCAAGGAGCGCTCATTCTTTCCTTAAGGACAGTGTCAGAGCCCCGATGAGGGTGCTGGGCAGGCATGTGGATTCTTGGCCAGACTTTGGGCCCACATGTGTAGTCTCATGGCATCCTCTGGTGGAAGCTGGTATTGTTACCACAATCCTTGAGACAACTAGCATAGGCTGCTGAGATGGGGGCCGGCCCAGCATCTCACAGTGTAGGCACCAGTCCAGCTTTGTGGCTGTGACCTCATCTCTCCTGACTGACCCCTCTGGACTTCTAGGCTATTTTGCTTTCCCCAGCACAGGTATCCTCCACTGGGCACAGGAGCCCTTGGGCTCAGTTTTCCAAGTCCCCAGACACAGCCCCTTTTCATCTGCCTGCTAGTTGAGGCTTGAGTTCAAGTCCCACCTTGATAAGGGACCACGTGGGTACAAAGGGTTCCAGGAAGTCTTGGGGTGTCATAGGGGCTCAGTAGGGAGACCACATGGCCTTGAGCTGTGATTTATAAAGTATACACAGTGGTGAACACTTGTAATGCCAGCTAAATAGGATACTAAGACAGGAGGATCAAAAGTTCAAAGCCAATCTGGACAACACAGTGAGAGAAGCTTTATCAAAATACAAAATAAAAAAAGACTAGGCATATAATTCAGCGGTATGAGCCTCCTGGACTTAATCCCAAGTAGTTCAAAACACAAAAATTTAAAAATAGAAAAGTACAGTTGGCCCTCTTTCTATGGGTTCTACATCCATAGATCCCAAAATACTTAGACCAAATATTTTGGGGGAAATGCCTCTGAACTGAACATGCACTGACTTTTGTTATTGTCGTACACACTGATAACTATTCACTTAGTGCATATACTCTATTAAGTATTACAGTAATAGAGAGATGATTTCAAGTATACTAAAGATGTGTATAGGTCATATGTGAATACTACACCATCTTTATAAGGGACTTGAGCCCCCAAGGATGGGTCTGGTACCAGCTGCAGTCGATGTGGGGGTGACTGGAATGTCTACTCTAGCCCAGAATGTCCACTCTAGCCCAGAAAGGAGAAGGCTCAGCCAAGGCAGAAAGGGTACAGGCTCCATCTCTAGGACTTCTATTGGCCTCTAGGATCCTTCCCAGTGGTGGACTCTGACTGATATCTGCCTCGATGCCTGACAGTACATGCCTCACCTGTGCCCAACTCCCTCACCAGCCCTGTACATCTCTGGGTCAGAAAGCCCTGTCTCCTACTGGTACTCTAGTAGTGGACCTGCTGTCAGCCTGAAGATGCTATGAATTAATTATGGATTCCAAAGAGCCTGCGCTGTAACACAGACACCCAGCTTATAAAAGTACATTTTTCAGAGCTGATTAGGTGAATGGGAGGTGGTCACAGCCAGACCACAGCCTTTGCACATTCCATGCCAGTTCCCACCTTCAGTTTTCTCTTCTCCTGGGAAACACCTCAGCACCCCACCCATAGAGGCTGCAGAACCTTTGCCCCTAAGGGCCCTTTGAAAGTAAATCAGTTCAAAATTTCTCAATTCCCTCCCCCAAGGAGTCTTTGAGACCCCTGAGAACACAGAACTGTCATATGAGCAGGTAAAATCCAGGGACTTACAACCAGTACCAGATTTTTAGAACCCATCAAGCCCTGGATCACCCTATTCTATTGGCTCATTCTCTATTTTCAAGATTCTTTCCCTACCTCCCAACACAACCTTCCTACTACTTTCTTCAGGAAATGACCATTGGACCCTGTCACAGCTAAAATGCCAAATGGACCTTGCTGTCATGACTGTGATTATTTCTCTCCCATGGGTCCCATCATACACACACACCCCACTCTAAGCTCCTTGTTTCTGCACCCCATGTCAAGGACCTCTAGTCCAGCACTTTGAGGTTCACTGCCTAACGCAGAAGGATCCTCAGCCCTGGGATCTCTTATCCCTTACCACACCTTCCAGTATTGTCACACTCGCAGAACCCCATGGCAAGTTACATGGGTGCTGGAGAAGGAAGGACAAAAAGAAGGTCTGGGAAGGAACATGGGAGAGCCTCAGTCTGCGGAAGGACAGGGAGAGGAGGTGTAGCATAGTCTCATCATCCAAAGTGGCAATGGCAGCTTGCAGATGCCTCCCATTCCTGGGATAATCACTCTTGCCCTGCAGCAAGAGATGCCAAGCCTGGGGACCTGGTGGGGGCCTCTTTCTCTTCCTTCTGAGACTGTGCCAAGGTACATCCTGACCATCACACACTCTTAGATCAAAAGAGTCTCAGGCCTGGACTAGGGTGGTATCTGGGAAGGCATCCAGGTCCCAAGTCCAGTCCTGTCCCAAGCAATCTAGAGTCTGTGTGCAGCAGGGCTCCTGGAAAACTGATAAGGACTGACTGGGCTACTTGACACATCTACCACCAGAAGGCCCCAAAATCAGAAGCAACCAAAGTGGGCAGAGAAGATAAACAAGATGAGCAGATCACATACAGTAGAGTATCTAAGGTTGCCCAGTCAGCCCCTACCCATCAACTCACAGATGTCCCATTCTTGGGGAAGTGACCAGAGCCCAGTTCCTGGCAGTTGTTCACAGTATTCTCTGTTGAGGTCCTGAGGACTTCCTTGTCATCTGAAGTCTGACACAAATAGGGGGTCACACACTATATGTCCACAACCATGTTGAGTCCTAAAAGAATCTAAGAAACAATAAAAATAAAATATTGCTGACATGTATACTATCCACTCCCTAGGAGCACCTGCTGTGAGTTTAGACATGAACCCCTCAGAGCCCTTACAGCCCCAGAACTAACCCTATATTCCCTGCCTCAACTCCGTCCTAGGTTCTTCCAGGGGAATCTGCAAAGGGGTTCAAGCACCTCTTGGGCACAGGTCAGGCAGGGGGCCAAGAGTTCTAAAGAAACCCGAGTGTCCTGGGGTAAATGTGAAGCACCTGCACAAAAAGCTGAGTGAGGAGCCTCCAGAGGGAAGTGAGAGGCCAGAGAAGAGGGAGGGAGGCCAAGGAGATCAGTGAGGCCTGGGGATGGGGAGCCATTGGAGAGGGGGGAGGAGAAACCAGGAGGCATGAGCCTCTGCCTCTCAGCCTCTGAGACCCCAGCAAGACTTGACAGATTATTGGAAGCACAAATCATTTCCTGTGTCCTTGGGCACCGTGGTCATTTCAGTCTCCATGCTGGCTCCCTGTAACTTACCTCTAGGCCAGCATGGACAGAGTTGCTGCATACACCAGGGTTCTGTCAGAGTTCTGGTTCTGTGAGCTCTAGACCAGCATCAGAGTGAGCCCCAGGGACTCCCAAGAATGCAGAGTCTCTGCCCTGCCTGGCCTTCAATTCAGAATCTTAAGTTTAACCAGGTCTCCAAGTGACTGTGATGCTGAAGACAAAGGAGCATTAATCCAAAACCAGATTCCAGCCCACAGCACTTCCATTTCCCCCATTAAAATGAGTTTGATGCCTCTCTGGTTGTCTGGGAGAAGGCAGAGGGGACAGACTGTACATCTCAGAAGAGCCCTAGTAGGGCTGGTTCCCTCTGACCTGTAGGGCAGGGAAGATGCCATCCTTCTCTCCAGCCCACTTAAGGGCCTCTTGTTAACTGCACGAAAGGAGGCCACTGGCTCAGGACCAAGGGACAGACAGAGGCCCCTCAAGGGACCAAGGGACAGACCTCCTGTGAGCCCTGAGGCCCCTGGGGATGAGTCACAGCCCTACCATTCCACGCTCGTGTTCAAGTCAAATTACCTAGTCTGACTCCAGTTTCCTGGTAGCTGTATAAAGGTGCCCCTGCTGTGGCAGTTCCCCAGTTGCCAGTGCACGTCGAAGATGAGGCCTCTTCTGGTGCTGCTGCTTCAAGCTGCTGTGTGTGCTGCTGTGGGTAAGATCACTGTGGCACCATGTGGGGGTGGGGAAGTCAGGCCTCCCCAGACCTGGGTACTAGCACGTCTGCTTTGGTCCAAGGGAAGTTGGTGTCTTTTAGATGGAGGCTATAGGGAATGTTTGTTGTCATTTGGATGGGGGCTGTAGGGAATGAGGAGGCTTCTTATATGGCTCCTTGCCTTACTTAGACTTGAAGTTCCTTTTCTTTTGGACAAGATGTCTGATATTTTTCGGACTCCTGTAGAAGTAAACTCCAGGCAAGAGGCCAAAGACATGGAACCGCTGAGACCTGGGATTCAGTTAAGGGGGCCAGCTGCCTCCTCTTCTCAGGATGAAAAATTCCCAGGGTGTAGGACTCAGGGCTAAAATGAAAAGTTCCATGCAAGTCAGAACAAGTGGGTCTCCCTCCTTCCAGCCCACTCTGCACTGATTCCAGTGACCTGGTTTGGGGGCAGAAATGAGGCCAGAGTTGGGAGGAGATATGCTCTAGCCTGTGATTATAAGTTGAATAATTATCATCCAAGGATAATTAGCCCCATCTGCTTCTCTTGAGCGTGGGGTAGGTGGGATGGGAAGAAGAGAAGGGGGAGGGAGAGGGGACTTTGGAAAGCACTCTAGCTTGAAGGAGGCCCACAGTGGGCAGCAGCAGAGACAGATGGAACAGAATTAGGCAGGGGTCTAGGCTGGCTGCAGAGAACAGGAAGTGGTCAAGTTTGGGCCAGGGGCACTACTTATCAGAAAGCCAAAAAGGTAGGTACTGAGGGTTGGTCCCAGGCCGGGGCACTACTCTGGTCTCACCTGCCCTAGAGTCTAGGTAGAACTTCAGGAGAGAAGGCTGTGTCAGAAAGTAAGGACATTTTGGGGAACACCTTGGTCCCCCTGGGATCAGCTTTCATAGGAGGGTGACGATGAAATGCTTATATTACTTAGCATTCATGGAGACTGGCCTCTGCTTGAGGATGTAACTAGTGTCAGCTGAAGAATACTTACTATCACCAAGTCAGGAAACCAGAGAGACCCCAGTAGGCAAACTGGTCTTGTGAGTCCTTGCTGAATAAGCTAGGACCATCTCCCTGACCCTTCAGCAAGACTAACAACTTAAATGTAGGTGAGCATCAAAAATATCCAGGGATCACCCTCAACAAGGAGATTCTTTTCTTGGGATTCCAGAACAATGGCTTGGTTCTCAGATTAGAAAGGGGCACCGCACTAGTCTGAGCCTGACCATCTTCAGCCCTCAGGTCACTAACAATCTATTTCACGCTCTAAAGTCCGGGGCTTTAGAGGTTGGGGCCACAACAGAGCCATGTTCAAAAAATGAGATCATCTCCTTGCACCAATGAACATCTAAGATCAGAGAAAGTACACATTGCCTAGAATACTTGCACAGGATGCACCTGCAGGACACCACTACAGAGTATTCATACAGCACACTCTGACAGGAAACCCCACACAGGATACTCTATGGGAAACTCCCTATAGGTAACCTCCTATAGGACTTTCTATAGGACACTATTTAAGAACACACATCCCAAGTCTAGAAGCAGCCTCCATACCAAGACATAATGCTTGGCTTCCTGACCAGTAGCATGCCTAATTCCACTTCTAAGTGCTTGCAACTCATAAAAGCTGACTTTTTCTCTGCAGTGCTTCACACTGCATCTCTTCCCCCATAGAAATCTTAGGCAGGTCTAGATCTGCCCCATCCCCTCAAGGAAGACTTCCAAGGTCACCCTATCCTCTATCAAAAACAAGCTGACCCTTACTGGCTATCTCCATGGAGTAAGATTGTACTCTCTACTCCAGCCACCTCACATAAACTTCACTGTTCATGGGTCAGCCATGCCCAGACAGCCTGTGTTCTCTCAAGGGCAGCCTTGTTATGGTCCCTGTAGTTGGAAACTTGGGCTGACCACATAGCACCTTGGATCAGCTATCTTCAGAATGGCATGGGCTGGTGCCTCATGCTCTGACTTCCGAATTCATATTGAGGAAGAAGGTTGCCAGCATGTCTCTCATGGATAGAATACAAGGTCTGGGCTATTATTTCCCTCTGGCATATCATCTATAAGAACCTACTAGGCTCAAAGTGCTCAGAGCCAGCCTAACCTAGTCAGGCAACCCTCCTGCCTCTGGCTTCCAGGCAACCATCTCAGAATTGTCTCAATTCTTCCTCTAAGGAAGACGGTGACAGGAGCCACATGCATTATGCACTGCATAATTCATCTTCTGAGAAGACAGAGTAGGTTACTATTATTCACACCTCATACATGGGGACACTTCAGCTCAGAGGAGGAGGAGACAAAGAACAGAATTAAAACTTACATCACCTTTGAGGTCAATCTTAAATCCTGCTGCTCTATCTTTCTGCCTTCTACCATCCACCTCTCCATCAAACTAGTAGAGTAATTCATCTATCCATCCATCCACACATACATACCAATCCACCCACCATCCACTCATCTATCCATGAATCTCTCTTCCCATGGACTCATCCTATCATCTACCTATCCATTCATCCACTCATACATCCATTTATTTATCTGTCCATTCATTCATCTGTCTACCCACTCACCCATTCATCCATCCTCCTGCCTATTCATCCATCTACCTATCCATCTATCTATCCATCCTTCCATTCACCTATCCATCCATACAGTCTTTCAGTGGTTTAGCTGACACAGTTCTACCACCTTTTCTAGGATTCCCAGTTCCTTTTCCAGAAGCAGCTACAGGGCAGTGAGGGAGATGTGTGCATGAGCTCATAGGTGCTAGGGAAGCCAAAGGATGGTGAGCCTAGCCTGAGGGTAGTCTGCCACAATATAAACCATCAGATAGCCTGGCACCTGGCCAGAAGGGACAGAAGGGAGAACATGTCACAATCACTATCACAAAGTCCCTAGTTCCTCTGCTCCTCTGAGCTCCCCTGGAGAAGGGAAGAGGCTCAGAGAGGGTACTCTTGAGCAGACCACTAGGCAGGTGGCTGAATATTTGCCCCCAACCCCAACCCAGACTGATAGCTTGTACTTTCCTTCAGCTCAGGCCCTGCATTGCCATGTGTGCTGTGGCCATGAGAACTGCGAGTCTCTAGTGGAGTGTGCCCCAACGGACATGTACTGTGTGATCACACGGGCGAGTAAGTACCTGGGCCACTCCCAAATGTCCTGCCCACTAGCCCTGCACAGAGATGCTCCCAGCTCCAATTCATCCCCTTTCTCCCCTCTGTACACAGCCACAAGCCCACAGTGCCTTAACCCCATTCTAGGATAAACCCCAGTGGCACCACTACCCTCCAGTTCACAGTTTCAACTAGAGAAAGATTGGCAGTTGTATGTATGTTGTGATCTGGGAGATGCTGGCCCCCAGCTAATGCTAGAGCCTGGATCCTCCCAGAGCCCTGTCTTAACCAGCAGCAACCGGCCAGCCATAACCTTTACCCCTGAGTGCCCTCTTCCTGAATTTAGAACTCTGCCCTAATGGTATCATAGTGGTCCAGTGACAATAAGAAAGCCCTCTGACCAGCACCCTCCCTGAACTCCCCCAGACCAAACTCATTTCTTCCTTGGCCTCCTGTACTCCCTCTACAGTCTAGTTTCTCCCTAAGTAAAGAGGGCTGGGCCAGGCCCAGAGCTTACAGATCAGGCCAAGATGGTGACAGTACCAGGCATCCCGGCTGAACACTTGAGTAGCCCTGGGCATAAGGTACCCTGCAAAGTGGACCCTATATGTGGCAAGACCTGACCCAACTGCAGAAGACAAGACTGGACAGTGGTGAAGGGTGACCAGGAAGATGCAACAGGATCAGGTGGGACTACAAACTGAGTAGTCAGCTCATCCCTAGGAATGGAACTGATGGGGGGGGTGGAGGAGCAGGCCCATTCCCATCTTGGTGGGACCTAGGGCAAACAATGTAATCTCAGATTCTAGAGAGGTGATAGGGGTCCTTTCCTCTTGCAGCTTGCTGCAACTATCAGGATGATGCCTTGCTCCCAGTTATAAGAGGGTCAGGCAGCCTCACTGTGTGGCCTTGGCCCAGTTTCTCATCAGGCCCCATAAGTTCAGACTGGCATCCATTCCCATTTTACAGAGACATCATCCTGCAGGGGTCCCCCAAATACGTAGCATGGCCCAGACTCCATATGGCTCCTGCCCAGTGCCCAGATGCCCTCCATGCTCCTGACAGTTCAGGGGGGCTGAGAAGGAACATCATATGCTCTTCTACCACCTCCAGGATTCTCCCACCAAGCACAGCAAGGTCTTGCCCAGATATTCCTGCCCTACCACACCTGGAGACTAGGGCATAACCAATGCGCTCTGGTGGCACCCAGGTGCAGGTTTAGTTTTGCTTTGCCTAGAGTGGGAAAGGGCTGTTCAGATGTCACTCTTCTACTCAGTTCTGCTACTAACTACGCTCTGCTAATGACTAACATATACCCCACAGATGCCACGTGTCATCTGCTCTTAATGCAACCCAGAAACTTACTCATTTAACTCCCAAACAAGAGCAGAAAGTGCCTTCACTGTTTTCTGCATTTCTAGGCAGGGAAACTGAAACAAAGAGAAATCAGGCTTCCCAAGATAGAAGCATTTGCCCCATTCCGTGTTTCCTGGACCAGGTGCAAACAAGAGCCCAAGAGACAGGGTCAGAGCCCCAGAATGTGCTGAACAGAGCAGGCTAAGAAAAAACAGCTGCTGTCATTCCAGCAGCCTCCTTGTCCCTGCTATGCGCATGTACACTGAAGTGTCTCCCTTTTGGGTGTGGGGCATTGCTAAGACCTCACAACACAACTGTCCTCTCTGGCTCCCAGGGCCCCTGGAAATGCCTACCTCCACTTTCCTTGTGGGAGTCAGAGTCTACAGGCAGGCAGCCATGAAGGTTATGTGGTCCTCTGCACCCCTCATCACCATCAAGACCTCTCAGGCACAGGAGGAAAGATGGATGGGAGGGGACCCAGGTCTATCCTCAGAGGAGAAGAGAAGTGAGCTCCTGGACACTGCGGGAAAAAGGAGCTATCATATCATTCCCAAAGAGCCTGTTCAGAGTGGAAGACAGGACCCCACAGTTACCCTGCAGCCACTCTCAGGAAAATGTTTCATCAAGCTTTCACAGCCAGTGTTTCAGGACTCCCTAAAACAGGCTATGCCCAACTGTGGGGCTCCCTGAGGGCCCAGAGGGGTGGTGGGAACCAAATTACCCATGGCTCATAACACCTGTCCTTTCTCTGCAGCCAACCCCGGAGGCATGCTGGTCATGAAGTCTTGTGCTCCAACCTGCCCCAACAGCACTGTGTCCTCAGATGGCCGTGCCCTGTCCATTTCGTGCTGCCAGAACACCCGGTGCAACAGTGCAGCTTCAGGCCTAACATCCAGTTTTGGAGCCCTCTGGGCCAGCTCCTCAGCCAGCCTGCTGTGGGCACTGCTCCAGGTAGCCTGGTGAAGTCCAGGATGTGAGTCATTCATACCTCTCAGTAGGGGTCTGTTCACAGGCTGGACCCCACCAGCCCAGAGGAGGGTCCAAATTTTGACTGTAATTCCCCTTTTCTGCTTCTCCCAAGGCTACTCAGGGAGAGATGAAGGGTTAAAAGCCCCTGGGGCTCCTACTTAAGAGGAGTAGCAATCTCCGTCTCAGAGAATTCCCAACAAAGGACTCCTAAGAAGGGTGTGTCCTGCTGACACCCCCCTTCCAGAGATTGTCAGCCTTTTGCTGCATTCTTGGGACCCTTAACCATCCTGGAATGAGCAGAACTCCGCTCTCTGCCCTGGCATGTCTACCCTCATTTATCAGACTAAAAACTGAGAGGCTCAGACCTGGGCTTCCTACTTGCTCTAGCCTTGCTTGGCAAGATACTTTGCACATAGCCATAATGAAGTAGAACAGACAAAAGAGACAGAAGGGTGGTCAGATCTTAATTCATAACCTGTTACCCACTAAGGGGAAAGACATGTCTTTCCCATCCTCTAGCTCATCCCAGCAATGCGTTTGAAAGCTAACTGCTTTTTCATTTTCTTTTGCATTTAGAACTGGGCTCTCCTGTTGCCCCTTCAAGCTCTTCAAGGTGAAGTTTCTGCCCACTTTCTCTTCTTTCTCAATTAAAGCTTTTGGCTATAAATTACTGCTGTTGCCTCAGTTTTGATTTCCATTGTCACTGCAGAAACCTCACACATGTCCTGTATCAGTCTTCCCCCTTGGCCTTCTGTGCCCTGGCCTAAAGGATGTACCTGGGAGTTTGGGGCACTGGACTCCTCAAACTCTTTGTATTCTCATAGCTATCCCTGTTCTCACTCCATCCACTCAACTACCCACCCACTCATATATCCATCATGTATCCACTTATCAATCTGCCATCTATCATCCACTCGTCCATTCATCTTCCATCTACCCATCCACTCATCCATCTATCTATTATTCATCCATCCATCCACCCATTCATCTCTCTACTCACTCACCCACTTATTTATTCCATCCATCCATTTATCTAATCATTTATTCCATCCACTGGCCTCTTCCCCCAACCCATCACAGACCTGCATCCCAAGGCCTTCCATTGACTCTATATGCTGACCAAAGCCTCCTGCCAAGGACCTCCACCAGACCCTGTCCCTGTGAACCTAAGCCTTTTAAATTGTCCTTTGGCTGTCCACTGTGGGGTGGGATAGCTCACTTTGAAGTGGTGTATCAGACATTGGAGCCAGGATGTACATCCTTACTGAAAGTGGAGGACGATTTTACCTTCCTGGTAGTTCCATCAGCTAGTCCTCCTACCAGGTTTTCCTGAGATAAGAGTAAAGCTGCATATCTGCTCAGCTGGAGAAATCTGGGGTAATTTTCTTGCCTTTGGTCAACCTCATCCTCAGGGAACATAAACCCCTGCACTTCATTGGGGCACCTTTGAGAAGACTGGCAAAGTAGTATATGGAGACAGCTCTCTGCACTCCTCATATTTTCCTACAGGCATGAAGTCAGCAGCCTTTAAGCCTCACAAACCAGGTCTCCTGACTACCACAGTGACACCAGGCACACTCCCTGCCATTGTGGCAGGAGAGATGATCAGGGCAAACAAAGCAGCAGATCCATGCAGGTCCACATCACAAATGGCTGGAGGGACAGTCCTGGGGAAATGTCTGGCTGAGATTCAAGTTCTCCAAGAGCAAGCATGGAACAGGCAAAGACCTGAAAGGAGGAAAAATCTCCAGAAATTGAGGAGACCATAACTTTGAATCTGAGAGACCATGGCCACTCATGAGAGGAGGGAGGTGGCTACCAGTGACAGGGCAGTGAGCATGGCCATGTGACGGGGAAGGTATACTTGAACCAGGCTATAGCCCTGGCAAGATGAGGAGACAGGGTTTGACTCCAAGAGTGCTTAGTCAGCAGGAAAAGATTCCATCAGTCAAGTGTAGGATGAGTCTTCTCCTCCAGAAAAGGAGAGCAGGACAGGGCAGAGCTGATGTGGCTAGGAAAAGCACTCACAGCCCAAGCCAGTGGAAGACGGGGTTAGATGGGCTACAGATGAAGATTTGCCATGGAGGTGTTACAGGCTACACACACTCACTCATACACACACACACACACACACACACACACACACACATTCTTGCTCCTGAGGCTTGCTAGAAGTGATCTGGACACACATGGGTTAGGGCATTATTAGATTAGAGCAGTGACTCCTGAGTGCCTCAGGGATTGCTGGATGGTAAAGTAAGCAGCCAGAACTCAAAGGCACTTGGGCTAAGTTTCAAAACGCAACAAAGCCAGAACCCTAGGGCCAGCCTTGTGGTTAGGCTCATAGCAAGGACCAGTGGGCAGTTCCAAATGAAGGTGGGCTCTGTCAGGGCCCTTTTTGCCAGTGGCTCCTCAGAACTGGGCTCTTCTGGGATACTTCTATAGTGTGGGCACTAGCGTCTCTATCCCCTAGCACCTGCCCATACCCCTCTTATATAACTCCAGATGCTGACACCATAACTGTCCATGCCTTATGCCCAGGCTTGTAGTAATGAGCTTCCTGACAGGGTCCCACTTGGGTCCCACTTCTTCCCTCATCTCTGCCCTAAACTGAGCAATTCAGGGCCCTACTGGACACCAGGCCAAGGCAGGCTTCTCCAGTATCAAATGCAACAGCTGTCTGAAACTGGAGGAATGAACTTGGCCCTCAGCCTCACCATGCTCCATGTGGACAATTCAACTTCTCTGGGGCCCATGGCAGACAGGCCAACAGGGCAGGCAGTGATCCTCCAGTGCTTACTCCTCTCTTTAGGACTGGAGTCAATGATGTCCTCCCAAAGTCTCCTCCCACCTCCCAGGTTATCAGATAAGCTGTTATTGTATCATGCTTTAAAGAGAGCCTGTCCGGAGGGTGGTGCTGGAAATCCCATAGCGGTCGAAGCCTATAGAATCATGCAGAGGCCTTTCTCTGACCAGGGGCAGATTTGTTAATGGAAAAGCAGATGGGGAAGAGAGAGCAGAGCAGACAGACAGTATTTTAGTGGCTGTATATGTCCACAAAGGCAGAGACTACCAGTAGTAACACCCAGTTGAGGGTGGGGCCTGGAGTTTCAAAGCCACTGTAGACCACCAAGTGGTCCTTTCCCAGGACATGCTGAAGGTCTCCATATCAGTAGTCATTCTGGAGCTCCTCCAGGGAACTGGTCTGTACCAACTTTCTGAGTGGCATGGGAACTCTCAAGGATATGAGAGAGGAAGAGCATTCTGAGGGTGGGACCAGTGGGCAACAGATATCTTGAGGGGACTTGATGTAATCAGTATCTTGGACTTTTTCCATATGACTAAGGGAAATATCATCATGCACAGCAGTGTGAATTTAATCCATAACTCTTAGGCTGTCAACAGGTTCTTACATGTATGTTCTTCCTGTGAAACCCAATCTAACACTCCACCCCCTGCCCTGCTCTATCTTTACAGCCTTGTACAGACTTAATATTGCAGAATGTATTTCATTGTTTTTGTGGATAGTGCCCTGAAAAATGTGAGCTCTAAGAGCACTGAAACATGCTTTATTCACATCCACATTCCTGTCATCCAGGGTTATTTTCATGGCACTCTTAAAACCATGCTTATGGGATGAACGCATAAGTGAATGGATAGTTAGATAAATAGATTCATGTATGGATGAAGGATGGGTGAATAATGGATGTATGATGGGTATGTGATTAGGTGGATGGATGGACAAATGGATGGAAGGGAGATGCATAAATACTCGGATGGATAGATGGCAAGTAGGTGGATATATGTGTAAATGGATGTCTCAGTGATGGATGATAAATAACTGGATGAATGGATGGATGGATACAGGATAGAGTATAGACAAATGAGAATGTGGATGATAGATTGATAATGAATGGATGATTAATATATGAGTGGGTAAAGGATAGATGATAGACAGATGTTATGGGTGGATGGTGAATGGATTGATGGGTAATGATAGCATGGATGCATAGATGGATAATGAATGAGTGCACGATGAGTGGGCAGATGGAGGATAAATGGATGGATGACATGTACGTTAAAGGTGAATGGGAGGTGGGTAGATACTACATACTACATAGATACTGATAGTGAATGGATGATGGAAAGATGGATGGGAAGATGAATGATAAATAATTAATGGATAGATAATGGATAACTGAATAGAAGAATGAATATAAGTCTCCATGTTGAGCAAGCCTTACTTCTAAGAGCCTGAAGATATGGACCTCTGAGGTCCAACAGTGGTTTTTGCCATGATTCTATGACCCAGTAGTCTCTCTCCCCCATTTCACAGTCCCACACTAAAAACTTCTCCCTCATCATCCAGACTTTGGCAGTAGGTAACCCTTGCCCAGATCTCTGGGTGCTGGTGCCAATGGTTCCCGTCAGCCAGGCATGAGAACTAGTTTATCTCTATTAGAGATCTAGGGCCCAGCCCTTTCCAAGAGCAGGCTGCACCCTGCAGCAGGGCACAGCATTTCAGATTCTGCTCAGTCTAAAAGCTGTTCCTTGGATTTGTACCCTGACAGAATTTCGTACTGTAGAGGACCATAAAGGATGAGGGACTGACATAGACTGAGACAGCTGGCCCTGAGCTTTGGCCCTTGCCTAGCCCAGCAAGACAATGTGTATTTGGGATCCCAGCAGGTGACCCAAGACTTGGATGGGGCCATTCTAGCCTCTGGGAAGCAATGAGCAAGACCCATGTCTAGGGCTGTGGCTCTGTGTATATAGGTGACTCCTGCACGAAAAGGGAGGATTATGTAAGAAAAGCCTGAGGCCCAGAGGTCACACCCAGCTACAGCTCTACTTGCTAGGTGAGGATGAGCAAGGTCCTGGCTGTGTTATCTGGGGTCCTTCCTTTGTGTACAGCTGTGCAGTTGAAAAAGACAGAGCAGCCAGTGGCAAATGTCCCTCTCCTGGTTGACCCACAGAACACTCAAGAGAGACAGCATGAGAGGACCTGACAGGCAGGCCTTGATTCCCTGGTTGATACTCCTCCCTTCTCTATCATTTGGTCACCTACCATTAAGCTTCAGCTGAGATGGCTCCATCGAGGTGGGTCCTCCTAGAGACACCAATTATGCCTTGTTGTCACACTTTGCAGTGTACCCATAGAGTATTCCAGAGGTCTGTCTCTCCCTTTGGCTGGTTTGGGTGAGGTAGAAAAGAAGCATCTATCTGATTCATTTGTGCCTTTGATGGCTATGAAGCAGTATGACTTTTCTGGAGGCTGTCTGCCTTTCCCCCTTGCTCCCTTTGCTTCTCCTTCCACCCTAGGGAACTGGGACATTTCGCTCCAGGGCCCTCCCTAGCTATCAGACAGCCATTCTCCACTCCAATATGAGTGCAGCCAGGTTGTATGGGGCCCCTCTCCTACTCTTCCCTCTTCAGTCAATACTATTGCATTTTTGAAAACAGAGGTGTACCCAGGAGTAGCAAAGATCAGGAAGACACAGATCTGATCCCTTTGTTTTCACACCCAAAATTCACAGCAAATCTTCCAAAAGATTCCCTGGTTTCAGCCCTCATCCTCAATAAAATATATTTGCAAGTTGTTACATAAGCAGCACTTTCCAGACACTTTTTGGGTGTCTGTCTAGGAGAGGTCTCACCGGTTTATTACCCTAGCATAAGCTGGCATTGGACAGTGACCAGTAAAGTCAACCTGTGGTGTCCAGCATAACTAACATCAGATGATCCTGGCAGAAGCAAGGATCAACAACTGACTGTTCTCATCTGGGGACATTAGAACTGCAAAGAATCCTTAGCTGAATGCCAACATGGGGGCCCTGAGCACTGGGCTCTGACACGTTCCTCTCCTGCTTTGTTATATCCACAGTGCTGGCTTATGGAAAATCCTAAAATGTTGTGGAGTGAATGAATGAAGTACCTTGAGATACAGAGAAGCAGTTGGGCCCCTGGGGTGTGGTCAGGACAAATTTTCACAGCCACATGAGGTTGAAAAAGCTTCCAGCTCAGTGGGTCTGATTGTTTGTCCTTTACTTTCTCCTTCAGGTCTGGCAAGGCCCAGGGCTGTACCTTCAGAAAACCTGGAGCAGGCTTTCTCGAGCCAGGTACTTTCCTCTCTGGCTCTTCAAAAGCTCAAGCTAGGGAGATGACATGGGAGAGAAGCGGGGAACAGGGGGAAAGATATGAGCAGGAAATCTCTGCTCCAGACAGAGATTCAGACTATCCCTCAACTTCCTAAGCTAGCCAGTGGGTTCAGACAGTGGACAAAGCTAAGGGCAAAATAAAGTAGTTGCTTGCCCAGTGCAACTCTTGGCCACTGTCCCTGATGCTAGTATCCTGAAGACACAAGGCAGGTCAGACCCAGGACCTGGGCCAGAAGAAAGGGTCTGGAAGAGCCACGCTCTGAAAGATGCTGCTCCTCAATGGAAAATAGGGAAGGAAGGGTCCGTGGGCAGAAGAAAAAGGACTTAGATTACTCAGGCTCTTCAGCTCCTCTCCAAGGTTGGCTTGGCACCTGTTTAGGCCTTTAGGACCCACATTTCCTCATCAGCCAAAGCGTGCTAGACAGGTAGAGATAAAGGACCATGAAGGCTCTTCAGTCTTTTCTACATGAACTGACTCCAAAGCCCCAGCCTGGTCATTGCCCACAGGAAATCTTCCTTGACTGCCCAGCTTCTCAACTGCCATCACCAGAATCACTCTCTTTCTCCTGATAGCAAACTGCCTATGGAACTGTGCCATCGTCTATCTGGCAATGGCTAGGTCAGCAGTTTACATTCTCCCAGCAGCCCTAGTGGGCTTTAGGCCCTCCTCACAATAGAACTGGGACACCTGCCATCCCAGCCTCCAGGACACATCACTGTCATTAGGCCTAAGTTCCTGGGAGACACTGCCCAGCTGCTCAAGCTGAGCCCTCTACTCCTAGAAGCCCAGCAGTCCTGGGCCCCCAGCTTCACTGCACACAGCAAGAATTGCAAACTTGTTTTTCCAGCACATCCCCTGTTGAGTCACCACTCTGTCATCAAACCCTGAGTTCGGCCTTCCAAGGCCTCTGAATCATCCACCACCAATCACCCATGAATCTCTCCATACTGTGAACACAGAGACTGCCCCTGGGCCTTCACTTGCATCCTCCAAGATCCCTGGGCCAACACCAATGACCCCTTAGCCTTTATGTAGGTGCTGCTAAGTCCAGGAACTGCTTCACGGAGAGCCACATGAAGAACTGGCAGCACTCTGACCTCTACTGTAGCAACAGCTTAATCCCACCTGGCCTGCCATGGTTCTGACCCCACCCCACCCAAGAACCCATGGGTTTCTAAGAGTTGCAGCCTGGCCACCCTTCCTGCAGCAGGCCATGACCATCTGCCCTCATGGGCTCATGTCCACCAGCTGCTTTGTGAATGAGAAGGGAACAGACCAAGGCATGAACTCTGTGCCCAACCCCAATTTGCCTGCAAGAGCCAGGGCAGAACAAGGCTCTTCAATGTCCCCTGATGCAACCTGAGCAGATGGAACCAGCATAGAGGGCCGTCCCTGCTCTAATTATGTTATAGGATAGTTTCTTTAGAAATAGTTAACCAGTTAAATTTATTCCAGGCCCTTTTGTCTTAACAAAGAATTAGATGAGACAAGCCAAAAACAGTGCCAAAAGTTTATTTGAAAAATGAGAGGTGGAGGGGTAAAGGAGTAGCTGGCTCTGCAGTGAACTTGGGCTGAACAAAAAAGGTAAAAAGCAAAAAAATGAAAGTACATCCTGGTCTGGAAGACACAGGGCGGGCTACCATAAGGAGTCACAATGGTGAGCTCCCCATGACATCTGTATTCTCATATGCAGCCTACATCTCATGGGAACACACAAAAAGTTTTACAATATGGGGCCTTGGGAATTACTTGGCAGCACTCTGGGGTCTTATAACTGCCTGGCCTCACTGCCAGCTTTGCTGTACCCTATCTCCTATCTCAGCTAGGCAGGTACTTAGAGACCTAAGTCATGAGGGAAATGAGCACCTCCTATGAGTGCAAAGGGAATGAAGAGGGGACTCTGCTCCCCCACAGAAATCAGACCGTCATTTGCCCCAGGACCTTGGGTATTGGGGCCTAGCTCTGAAGATCCCTCAGCTTTGGGGGGACCACAACAGAGATAAAGGGACCTTATGAAATAGAATGACTAAGGTGCTTCTGGGGAAAGGCAGGCCTGAGAGCACTGGAGAGGGACTCCTCCCCTCCAAGGGAAGGGGTTCTGGGGCCTCAAGGGCGGGAGGAGGCCTGGGGGAAAGATGAGATGATGGGAAGTGCTTCTGCCTCCCTGACAAATGAGCCAGTCTTCACCTCTACAGCCCTGCCCCTCACCCATCAGCCCCAGCCATGGACAGTGCCCCACCACCTTGGGGTTGCATCCTCACCTGTCCTCCACCTGACATGAACTCTGGTTTCTACTACCCTGCCCCTGCCTCTTCTCATCTGTAGCCACCTAAAGGGTTCCTTGATCCCGGCTCCACTAGGCAAGTCCAGCCCCCAGGAGATCAGAGCCTAGAAAGGCAGAACCAGTGCTTCCTGTTCCTGCCTTCCTTACCAGGGGCACCCTAAAGCACCCAGTATAGGCTGAAACTGAAGGGAACTACACAAGGGAGGGAAACACAGAACAAAGGCACAAGACAGACACAGACAGACAGCAAGAGAACTGATGGAGACCTAAAACAACAGAGAAAAGATGTGACTAGGAGCCGTGGTCCCTAGAACTGGAGAGAGCCACAATGAGCTGGGCTGGTGGGTGTGTGCAAGACAAAGTGAGACAGGCCCTGTTTAGTCATTGGCTAGATGGCTTCCAGCCTTACCCATTTGAGCCCATCCCAGCTATAAGACCTGTGGAGAGGAGGAGCCCCCACTGCTCCCCAGTGACACTGAGGATGAAGACAGTCCTGCTGCTCCTTATTGCCCTGACTGTGGCCCTGAGCCCAGGTAAGACACTGGGCCTGGGGGCCTGGAAGGGTGGGCAGTTTTTGGCCTCTGCACCTGAAAGATGATCACCAAATGCTAGAAGCCGGGAATTCAAGCTCAGAGACTCCTGATATGTGAAATGCTTGACTTTCGAGGTTTTTTAAAACAAAATGAACCTATATTTGTGTCTCTGCCAATCACGGATTTAAAAAATTTCAGAATCAGAGAAGCTAAGAATCAATTATAGAATCACAGACACTGTGTTGGGGGTACATCTGGGACTTGGCCTTACACGCATCCCCAGGGTCATCCAGTGCCTGCAGCTAGCCCCTCTCTGGGCCCTTTCCCTCCCTGAGAACTCCTAGAGGCTTTCCCAGGGAGTCGTGAGTGTGGTTGGTGGGAACAGTAACCTCCTCTCACAACTGTTTTTAGCATAAAGCCAGGGCTCTCTGAGGCCCTAGAAGAAAGGTCTCCACTGAACTCCACCCACGCCCCCCCCCACGCCCCCCCAGCCCTGCCTCCTCCAGAGGCTCAAGGTACCGAGCACATCTTTCTTGAGCTGCATGTGGAAAATGGTCCCTGTGTGGTCTGGGGACCAAGTGGGGACTGCCTGCACAATGGCTACAGAGGCTCTGCATTGGGTGGTCCCTTGGGCAGAGGAGGCAGGCCTGGCTGACATCCCTGTCCCACCACCACCAGCCTACACACTCCGCTGTCATGTGTGCAGAGACACTGGCAACTGCAAGAATCCCCAGAACTGCCCTAGCAGCTCCCGCTACTGCAAGACTGTGATTTCAGGTGAGTGGTAGCCTGGAAGGCCCGGGGCCTGGGAGGACCATCCCTGGGCAAATGGGTAGGTGTGATCCCTGTAATGGTCTCATCATAATGGAAATCGTGACCTCAGAGGGGCCAGTGGGAGTAGGACTGGGGCTGCATGGGTGCAAGCTGGAATGCATGGAGGACTAGGACTGACACCACTCCCACTCCCCATTCCCATGTACAGTGGAATCTCTGGCAGGAAACCTGATGGTGAAGAGCTGTGAGAATTCATGCATGTCTGCCAACAGCCAGCAGGGCCAGGTCAGCAGTGGTATGGAGTCCACCTACTGCTGCACGGAGGACCTGTGCAATGAGAAGCTGTTCAGTGCTGCACCTGGCAGAGCCCTGCCGAGTAGCACCACCTTAGGCCTGGTGCTGGCGTTAGGGCTCCTCGCCCTTCTCCTGGCCCCTAGTCTCTAACCTCTTCCTCTTTCATTTCTGGAGTTACTACAGCCCCCTCTCTGGCTACACATGGGTGCCAAACTCCCAAGGCCAGGGACTCCTTGCAGGCGGGGGCCCAGTCCTGGTGAATGCAGGACAATTACAGAATCACAGACACTGTGTTGGGGGTACATCTGGGAGTCCCCCTGGGAGGCCAGCCAGGCAGCATGGAAGGCAAAGGACAGGTTCCCCTTCCAAATTTTCTATGTTACTTATTTTTCTACTCAAACCTCTCCATATAAATAAATGATTTCTAACCAGTGTGGTTGTGGAAAACAGGAATTGGGGCAGGTGACCCATTTCTCACACTTGTCAGTCTTGATGGGGCAGCCCTATATTGATAGGATGCAGCATCTCTACCCTGACAGAGAGAAATCCCCTCCCTCATCCCATACCCTTAGGTGGCAGGACCTTGTCAGTACCACCTGAAGCCCCAGAGGTATGGGATACTCCTGGGGTAGTCTAAGCAGAGCTGGAGCAGGAAGCATGGGCCTAGCCCACACAGCACATAAGACCCAAGCCAAGAAATGTAGGTCCAAGAAGTTCTAGATAGCCCACAGCCTTGGAGTCATGCAGGCACTCTCTGCACAGCCCTGGCCCAAGGCAAGTGCCCCTGCCATGGCTGACCTCATCCTGGAAAGCACAATCATCATCAATCCCTCGGCCAGAACCCATCCACATCAGACCCTTGCCCAGACAGACAAGAAAAAGCTCTTTGAAAAGAGCCACTGACCACAGCTGCAGAGACACAGAGATAACAGGAGCCAGAGCTTGCAAAAAGAGCTAGGCGGGCATGGCTTGGCATAAGGGCTAGCCAGAAGGCTCAGGGGCAGGGAAGGGCCTAAGAATGGCACTGGGGTTGAAAGAAGCTGGGCCTCCAGCCAGTGTCTGAATTCCTGCTCATTGCTTGGATTTTGGGCATCCTGACTGAGTTCCTGCCTGGGTTTAAACAGTTTTTCAAGTATGAGGCTATGAGGCAGATAAGAGAGAAAGTACCCAGCAGATGTCCAAGCAGGCAGCCTTCCCCCTCCTATTCCTGAGAAGTAGGCTGGCCCCACACTCCAATGGCAATGACCCTCCAAAGATGCATGGGGTCATTGCAAGGTTCTGACCAATAGCAGGCTCACACCCTGGCAAACCTGGCTTGGCTACACTGCTGTGGTCAGCCCTGACCCAACACAGTGGTGGGGCAGCTGATGGAGGGCCTAGTGGGGTCCTGTGCCCTGAAAGGAGTATCTTCACCCTCCTTGCAGCTCTGTGGAGGACTCGGAGGGGTAGCCAATGAAAAGCCGAATGTGACTCTAGGCCCTGGCTGTTGACTACCCCCAATCCACTGCCTTCCCTGAAGCCCTGGGATAGCCTGAAACTCCCAGGTTCCAAGGGGTTGGCCCCACTACGTCTGCCATGTTGGCCCCTTCTCCAAGAGCAGGCTCCACCTCCAATTCTCCTGCTGTTCACTCCTGGTCCTAATCAAGTGACCTTGAGCCAGGTGTTCCACCTCCTGGGGCCACAGTTTTCCACCTGTGTGCTTGGTATCCATGTAGTGTAGTTAGTACCATATGCATATTGCCATCGCTGAAAGCACTTCCCCACAGCCCTCTGCCACAGCATAGTCATCCCCACAGTGGCTCTGTGGTCTCTCAAAGGTACCTTCCCCGAGAGAGGTGCCTCCTGCCCACTTCTGCCTGCTCCTTTAGGATAAGAGGCCTTTGAGAAAACCACTTGGTAAAGGATCTGGCTGAGCAGAGGGCCATACACCATCCCAGTCTTTGTGGCCATGAGGAAGTGACCAACAAAGCATGGCCACCAAGCACCAAAGAAGGGAGAGAGCACCATCTGGCGGAGGGGAGGGGATGTCTGGGGCACTTTGAAGGGTGGTAACCAGCATGAGAAATGCCCAGGCAACATGGATGGGGCCCATTCTGGTGGGTGGCAGCATCCATGTTCCAGAGGCCCAGGTTCCTTGTGTGACCTTGCCAGATTTTAATGCAAACCCAAGGGTGAAGCAGCTCCCACCTGGACTCCATCTTCCAACCTGTCATTCCCAGGGTCTAACCCCAGTTTTCAGTGTGGCTCACTGGCAGTCCTTTGGGTATAGCCAACCTGACTTGAGCCCTACCTAGGACCCTTCTCTAATCTCAGCTCCCAGTGGGTCTATAATGATGGGTGTCCTGTGAATGTGGACAGAGCCTTGGCCAGCAGGAGCCACACCCCAAATCTGGTCACTGGCATTCCTGACAGATGGGCTCCCACTGCCCCACCCAAGGCCAAGACTGCCTAGTGAGTGGTGAAGGGGAGGTGGTATGGAAAGGTGGCCCCCAGAATTCAGGGGTGAGGTGCTGGGCTGTGAGTAGGCTCCTTAAGACTCAGGCGATTTTCTCTCTACTTTAGTAGAATTGCTAGAAGTAGTCAAGTATGATTTCCACAGAGCAGATTTTCAGGGGAATTTTGTAAAAGGGGCCTACGGCATCTTCTGAGAAGGGAGGCCAGACTTACCATTAGCTTGCCAAAAACATCTGTAGTCTTCACAGCCCTGTCAGGCTGGCCACCAACAGGAAGGAGTCTGACCACTGTGTTTTCCTGGCACCCAGCATGGGCCTCCTTCCTGCCAAGGATGCAGGGGCAGCTACCAGGAACAGCTGGAGCTGGCTTGTCCTCCTTCTGGTCCTCTCATGGACATGCAGACCTGGATGAGCTGCCATGGTGTCTCCTCCTGGACAATCCTGAAGAACCAGCTTTGAGGCTGATGGTGCCTCCTTAGTGTTTGGCTTTTTTTATTTTGATTTTTCTCTTATTTTTATTACTCCCTTTATTTTGCTTACTCTGGGTTTTACTTGTTCTGTGTTCAGGTTCTGAAGGTGGAAATTTGGGTCCTTTTTCATCTAAGGAACTTTCTTCTTCTCTACTGCAGTAACTATGTGAAATCTTCCTCTAATTCTGCAACTGCATCCCATGTGAGCCATGCATTCATTTTCATGTAGTTGGAAATATTTTCTCATTCCTTATTAAATATCTGTTAGGTTAAAGAAGACCTATGGTGAAATCAAAAAGATAATCAGTCAAGAGAAAATTTAAAGTGGAAGTTCATCGCCTCCAACAGTGGTACACACCTGGGTCATGAGTTCAGTAGTCAGTCTTCAGCCCAGGGTGTTTGGGATTATATACATGAGGATCTGGGATTAGGACATATGGGTAAGGGTGATTGGACAGAAGGGAACAAAGTTAGGTTGCCTGATAGTTAAGCTCTGTTTTCTAAGTTAAGTTTCCAGGTACTTTCCTCGTGGGTTTCTACTTTTTAGAAATGACACGGCCTATATGTCAGGAAGGAAGTACCACATTCTCTCCTCACAATACCTCCTTTGACCCATCAGTTATTCAGAAATACATGGTCACCCAGTTTATTTTTATTTATTTTTTAATTAATTTTTCTAATTAGAGAAAAAAGCAAAACAGAAAAAAGTAGAATTTTTTTTAAAAAAACAGTAAGAAGTCACTAGTTATAGACTGACACAGCCACTGTGGAAATCAGTATGAAAATTCCTCAAAAAACTAGGATTGAAAGTTCCATTCAATCCAGCTATTCTTCTCCTGGGTATATTGCCAGAAAAAAATTGAAAAGGACATGTCTCAGCAATATATGTGCACCCATGTTTATAGCAGCACAATTTTTAATAGCTAAATCCTGAAAACAACCCAAATGCCCATCCATAGCATGGATGAAAAAAATGTGATATTTTTATACAATGGAATATCACCCAGTTTCTTAATATGTAGGGATCTCACAGATACTTTTGTGTTATTAAGTTCTCAGTTAATTCCATTATGGTCAACAAAAGTAGTCTGTATGACTTTGATCTTTGTAGTCTGTATGACTTTGATCTTTGTTTCATACTCAGGATAGAGATTACTCTGGTGAACACGCTTGATAAATAAAGGTATACTCCCCTTCTGTGGGTGGACTGTTCTAGAAGTAAACTAGGCACAGTGTTGTTTTTGTTTGTTTGTTTTGTTTGTTCATTTGTTTTAAGTTAAAAATTCCTTAATTTTTATTCCTGGTACTATACCACAATTTGCAGGGCAACATACCTGATGTAATAAAAAGAAAGAAAAAGCCAAAGCCACAATGGAGGAAAAACTTCAGGAAGGTACATCTAATTGACACTACATTGCATGAATCAAGAGCTGCACTTTTTGCAAACTGTGGCTATGACAGCTCTGAACCAGAAAGGTTTCCTGTTTAAGATGTAGTTTCTAACTATGGATCCTCGCTCCTTCTGTGCCAGACTTTTAGAGTTCCTCTAATGCACCAGCTCCATAATCATCACCATGGGGCCTGCCAGAGCTTCTTCCACCAAAATTGTTACCCTTCATGGATCTGATATTTGATTGCTATTGTCCACTATAATTCCCAAAATCCTTACAGTTCCCAACACCACCACAGTTACCACCACTAAAATTTCCTCCTTCATTGTAACCGTCGTATCCTCCTCTAACACCACCTTGATTTTCCTATGTTAGTCTACCACCACCATACCCTCCTCTACTACTGTAACCAGGTCCACCACCACTATCACCTCCAAATCCATTATTATCCACCATCACCTCCTCCCTAACTACCTCTGCAGCCACCTGCCTCACCACCATACCCTCCTCTTCCATCAAGTTTCTAGCATGGCCAAAATTCCCTCCACCATTTCCAAAATTTCCTCTATAACCCATAAACTTGCCAGACCCATCTCCATGACCTCTTTTTAATCCAGCAGACTGCATCTCTTATTTAGAAAGGGCCTTTTTCACTTTGTAATTATGCCCATTAAAATACTATAGTGTGGTATTTCTGAACAAAAATTTTATCAACTGTATTATGATCATCAAAAGTTACAAAAGCAAACTCTCTCTTTTTCCCATTCGGCCTGTCTTCCATAACTTCTGTGGTTTCAATCTTTAATCCTTTTCAAATAGTCTCTCAAATTATATTCTTCAGCAACTTCTTTAATACCACCAACAAAAATTTTCTTCACTGTTAGATGGGCACCACGCTTTACTCTACAGAAACAGCTCCCTTTGGTTCCACTACAACCTATTAACTCTGTGTGATCGAATACACATTGCTGTCAATACCTCTTTAACACAAGTGTAAGTCACAAAACTGAAGCCCCTGGAGCATTTTGTTTGGGGATCTCTCATTATCATGCAATCTGTGAGTGTGCCCCATTTTTCAAAATGTTCTCTAAAACTGTAAAAACTCAGACCACCAATGAA